GTCATATTGACGTAAGCAGCAGAGTCAGCTTTCAACATGTCTACCGATGCAGCCAGTAGCGAGTGGTAGTGCGCGCACTGCTGGAGGCGCGCGTACCTTGATTTCGCCAGGGCCGGGTGTGGCACTGTCGAGAGGGAGCGCCTTGAGGTCGCTGAGGGCACCGTGGGGGCACGGCATCAAGTGGCAGTCCGTCGACCGCACGTGCGCGCTGCTGCGCACCAGGCGCGCCTGCAACTGGACGCCTCCCAGCACAGCCTCCCCGAACGCACCATTGGCACCCGCCGCACCGGCAGCCTGCCAAGACAGACAGGCTTCCTCGTTTCTTCTCCGTCCTGGTACGTTCTACGTACTTGCAAACTTGCGGAATCATGCTCTCGAGGCAAAGGGATGAACGTCAAGGACTCATTTTCTGCCTCCTAGCGCTCACAGGTGACACCCATGCTGCTCAATTCTGCAAGGATGGCAGTGGACTGCACAGTCGCAGGTGTGAAATTGTGTCACCCGGTGATGCATGCAAAATCTGGGCATCATGAGCACAGGAGGTGTTTTAGGTGGCCATTCGCACCTTCTGGCTGTGTGCTGGCAGTGCAAGGGCCTGCTGCGAGGCACTGACAGACATCCCAGGGTTTTCGGCTGCGGCGACACGCACTAACGCTTGCAGCGCAGCTGCCGCCACATCAGCCCTGCCACCTCTTGCCAGGCTCTCCGTTGCCAGAGGAACGCTGAGGTGCAGAGATCCACCGGACAGTTTGGGTGCGGCTTGCTGCCACAGCTGCAGCATGCGCGTGACCGTCGCCGCTGCATTGTCAGCCTGCGACGCTCCCAGCTTTGCAGTGACCTTTGCCGATCGTGCAGGAATGGCCGAGAAGCAATCGTCCAAGCCTGCCGCGCCCTGCCCCTTGCTGCTGTATGCCGCGGTGGGGACCCCGACCGGGCTGTGCACTGAAACTTCCTCGCCAAGTGCAAACACGGCATCTGGGTTGTGGGCCATTTCGTCCTCGGGCGAGCTTCCTACTGCCTGCCACTGCGTTTCGTACAGGAGTTCTGACTCTGGAATCTCCTCCACTGGTGCCTGGCCGGCCTTCTCCATAACAGGCATGGGTGCCAGCTCTTTCGCCAGCAGATCACACAGCTGCAGGGAGCAGCCCTGTGCCGAGGCCATGCGGTAGCTGCACAGCACCGAGCCGTCCTGTGAGGGTACTCGCGGCTGTGCAACAGGGAACGCCTGGCCGGCGCCACCCAGCGGGGTGACCAGAAGTGCCTCCAGCCCTGAGGGGACTCTGGTGGTGCCCTTGCTGGCAGAGTCATGGGCCGTCGGCAGGGCTGCCGCGGACAGGTGCAATGTGGCATCCGTGAGCGCCGGGTGCAGCCGGTAGCCGGGCAAGTGGCGCTGCGCACTGACTTCATGGGCTGCGATCACTGCTCCTGGCTGGGCTGGCAATTTTGCTTCCGGTAGCATCTCCAGGAAGGGTAGCCTTCCTCTCACCACTTGCTCACCTGCAAAACATCCCAACAACTCAGGGATCACTCCTTGACACTCGGGCATTCCAAGTGCGTCCTGAAGATTCAAACACGCTCGAGAACTTGCAGGATGCAGAAGAGTAGTCAAAGCCCCACCTGCGGCTGCTGTAGGCAGCAAGCGCGCAGCAGTACCGCGGCAGTGCACCTGCCTGCGGCCGCCGGCAGCGGCTGCGGCCGAGCGCACTTCCAGGCCCCCATCCGTGTGCCCGGCAGACACCTCCACGAGCGAGTGCTGCGCCAGTGCCGGGAGCAGCATCGGCGCTGAGATGCTGACAGCCGCCAGAAGTGCAGCGGCTGCCCCGTCCACCAGGATTGCCATTGCTGCCATAGCCATCTCCAGCATGACTGCTGCCGGCACGATCAGGCGCCCGTTCACCTGTCGCAGGGTTCATAGCAGCCTCAAATATTCCAACACTCCGCTCAGGCATGCTTCCCCAATAATTCAATGCCTAGCCATCAGGATGTTGTCACCATTGTAATCTTTGAATCCAAGGTGACCTTAAGAAACAATGTATCGGTGCTGGCTAGGAGTGCCGACTATGCGTATTTTCGAACACCTGTTCATTGTCTACTTCCAGGCGTGGACACTGTGAAGGAGCAGGGTGCTGACCAGGTGGTCTCCCAGGTAGGACAGTTCGGGTTTGAGCAGGTCCAGGGCAAAGCTGCAGCGCTCCCTCGCCGCATGCGCGGGGCCCAGCAGGTGGTGTGGCGCTGCAACCGCCCAGCACCGCTGCCGCTGGTAGTGGACGCTGCCGGCCGCCTGCGCATGACCAATCTCCGGTGCGGTCGTGAAGATTGCATGCGCGTTTACTCCGCTCATGCCAAAAGAGCTTGTGCCTGCGAAAAAAAGTCAATCCATGAAGTTGCCATATACTAATACATGAACACCCTGAGAAGTATTGACTAGATTTTAAAAAGTCGAGGTACGAAAATCATACTGTTACTGGCCTGTCTGCACCTATCTTGTGACTGATGAGTTTGCAATTGCTGTAGTGCAAGTAATGCTACAGGGATAGTGTCCTCCTAACACACCAGCTGCTTTGAGTCCACGACGAGCTGATGGGTAGGGGGCGGCTTGCAGAGGGACGCTGGGCTGCAGGCGATGTGCCTTGCTCCAGTCTCCGAGGGCTGACGCCACATAGGTGTTCATGTTGCGCAGGTGCAACACAGGCGCAGCCCCCTACGCCAGAAGCCACAATTTCTCTCCTGGATGTATTTGGATGTCTGTTTCACCCGTGCCTTTACTGAGCAGACAAATGTGCTGCCGGCACATGCTGTGGAAAACAAGGGGGTTGTGGTGGAAGGCAAGGAAGGAAGGAGGAGTGCAAGCACCTGGTTGTGCAGTGTCTGGATGGCCAGCATTGCGCCTGTCAGCCCTGCTGTGCCTTCAGTGTGACCATAGCAGGACTTGACGCTTCCCAATGTCACCTGGACCGCTTTAGAAGTTCCCCTGCAAAACACACCATCCTCTCAGCTCATGATGTTCTCTTCGTTCAGGAAAGCAGGGCATGATCGTTAGAGTAGCACACCTGTTGCTGATAGCCTGGCCCAGTGCGCCAACCTCAATAGGATCCCCGAGTGGAGTGCCAGTGCCGTGCACAGCCACAAAGCCCAGCTCACCGGGACCAAGACCTGCCACCCAGCATGGCATCTTGAGTGAAAGTATGGTCGAACCCCACGAATCAAACACTGACCACACCTAAAAGCTTGCTTGTTCGTAAAAGTGTATCACAAAAGAGGTGATCAAGACAACCACTCGATGGCCTCATGCGAGCAGTCCTTGAATGTGTTGGCATGTGCATGCATGTTGGTGCCATGTGCCAGTACCTGCGCTATGCAAGGCAGCAGCGATCAGTGCGCTCTGGGAGGGGCCGTTGGGGGCTGTCAGGCCGCTGGAGCGGCCATCCTGGTTGGTGGCTGTGGCGGTGAGCACGGCCATCGCTGGAAGCTCCCCAGGCGCCCCTTGTTGGAGCACTGTCACTGCGCAGCCCTCACCGCGGCCGTAGCCGTCGCCTGACGCGTCAAACGTCTTGCAGCGGCCCACTGGTGACAGCGCCTGGATGCACAACGCACTTTCATGCATCCCAGCTGATATGCGCTGTCTGGTGCAACTTGATCATGTTGTGCCCCAAAACATGCAGTGTCCTGCTTTTTGCTCCGCGCAGGCTTTTCAGTTTGGGACCGCTCTCAGTGGGCTGTCCTCCTTCAAAGCCTTCCAAGCAATGCTTCTTCCTGTCTCTCATTAAGCACCCATCACTGATGGGCCATCAGGCCGTCATGCAGCAATCTGAAGCAGCAACGTGGAGTAATATTGCACCTGCAGCTGGCAGATGCCAGCCATGGTGCCGGACAGCAGCACCAGGAACACCCCGGCAGACAGGGCGCTGCTGCAGTCGCGTGCTGCCAGGCCATGGACGGCCAGGTGTGTGGACACCAGCGAGGAGGAGCACGCTGTGTGGGTGCTGACGCAGGGTCCAGTCAGCCCAAATGTGTATGATACGCGGCCAATCAAGAAGTCCATGCCATTGCCCGTGGACACATTGGGTGTGACCTGCACACCGAGACCTGCATGCACACCAGAACATCTCCTCCCTCATCCGTGCCTGAGTGCATGCTGAGGATTTTGCCAAGCACAGAGAAGAGGAATTCTCACACAGATTAGCGTCATGGAGCTGGTCGACATAATAGGATGCATGCATGCACTGATGCACTTTGAACAGCAGTCACAGTATGTCTCTCATGATGGCACTTGCCTGTCATGTACTGGATGTACTCCATGTGCATGACGCCCACATACACGCCAGCATCGGGCGCGACCGGCTCTCCGAGGCGGCCAGCCGCGTCGGCCAGTGCGAGACCGCACTGCTCGAGCAGCAGCCGCCCTTGTGGGTCCATCACTGCCGCCTTATTAGCCGACAGCCTGAGTGGCACAACGCAATGGCCATCATCGTCAAAATCAGATGGAAATAGCGTGAGAAGACCCTGTAGGATATCATCCAGATGGAATGTCATTAGTTTGGATGGTCATGGCATGTCCTTGACCCCTTCACCTTCTTTGTTTTGTATCACCGGCACAAAATGCTAAGACCCAGGCATGCTTGTCAGAAATTTTGAATGAGTTGAAGAATGTCTAGTAGAGCTGGGTCCTACCGGAAGGCAGCGGCATCGAAGGCTTCAACGCCAGGGATGAAGCCGGCAAAGCGAGCATACATCTTGTCCACCGCGACATTTGGTGAGTAGCAGCGCTCCAGCGACCAGCGCTCCAGCGGGATGAGCTGCTGCAGGTCCGCGCCGCGCGCCGCCTTGGACCAGAATCCAGCTGGGCCGCTTTCCTCCTCTGGGCCTGAAGAGGCAGTGCATTTGGTCCTGCTTTCACATGTGCTTTGCAGAGCTGCAGTGCTGAATTAAGGCTTTGGCTGTGCATCAGATGAGGTGACACACAGCATGCTAACATGTGGAAAAGGATTCCTGTATAACCAGCCCGGGTAGCTCAGATGGTAGAGCACCTGGCTTTTAACCATGTGGTCGAGGGTTCGAGCCCCTCCTCGGGCGCTTCACCTTTTCGTGCCCCACGATCTTTGGATCTGCCGATGCTGTGACGCAGCAATACTACACAAGAAAGCCAGTGCATCCGGCCATAAGGGGCATTCATTTATTGGTAACTTTCTGTTGAAAAAGTTGTGAGGGGACAGCACCTGGGTAGACACAGGAGAGGCCAACAAGCTGCACAGCAGCGGAGGTGGGCGCGCCAAAGTCGTGCTGCACGAGGGCGTTGTCACGCCAGTGCGGCTGCGTGGCAGCTGCCGGCTCGGGTGCGACGGCAGCGCCGATGTGCGCCGCCATGGCCGCCACCGTCGGGTGGTCGAATGTGAATGTGGCCGGCAGCTCCAGAGAAAATTGCGCGCTGAGCGCATTACGCAGGTCCACCGCTCCCAGCGAGTCCAGGCCGGCCTCCATCAGTGGCTGGTCCTCCGGCGCTGTTGCGCCCATGATGCTGGCAACCGTCTCCGCCACTTGCGCCCTACAGCATCGGGCAAAGACTGTCAGACCCTCCGTCGCATGGTCCAATTCGATAAATTGTGTTATTCTGGTGCTAGTGGATGACGCTTGACACATTTCGCAGTCTCAGATACCTGACAGACCATGTTTGGGACAGGCATCTTCCTAGGTAAACATCCGCAGAACATATTTCCCAAGCTGGCGGTGTTGTCACCGGATGGCATCAAGGGCTTGGGCGTCCGCTGGGAAGGGAGCGCTGCTCTGCTCTTCCTGGGCGCCATCTTGTGGCAGCAGGGTGGACACGAAGGTGGCCAACGCTGGCACAGTGGGGTAATCGAAGGTGACGGTTGAGGGGAGCTCAACACAGAACTGGATGCTGAGGGCATTGCGCAGATCCACAGCGCCCAGAGAATCCAGCCCTGCCTCCATCAGCGGCTGGTCTGGTGGCACCTGCCGCACCAACCCAAGCGAGTGGATTTAACACAGGCAAATGCGCTTTGGGTTGACGGATGCGACGCACCTAAGCATTATGGTACCTGCTCTGTCTGCTGGGTCAGTTCATGTCTGGTACTGGCACAGAGCAACCTGCACACTAGCTTTCGACACAAAGGATACTTGGAAAGTGAAGTGCACCTCTGTGCCCATGATGGAGCTTGCGGCAGCGGCCACAGCCTTCTGGATGGAAAGCAGGTGCGCTGCAGATGCAGCAGCGCTTGTCCTCGTTGCAGCAGCCCTCCCTTTCCGGCTATCCAGAGCCCTTGGTCTCGTTGGGGCCTTGGTATCGGCAGCTGGCAGCAGCGTGCGCATGAACTCTCCCAGGATGGGCGCTGGCTTTTGTGTCGCCAGAAGCTTGTCCCAAAGGAAGACATTGCCTGAAACATGCAATCCAGACATCGACGATGTCAACAAAGAGAAGCAGCATTGCTGGCAACAAGTAAACTGATAACAAACCAATGTTGATCGCTTGGTCAGCTCAACTGGGACAAACGATACAGCCCAGAATCTGCAAAGAGCTGAGTGACAACTTTGTGCCCTTGCTACAGACTGCCTGGATGTCCCAAGGGGTGAGAAGAACGCCAGAAACCATTAGCCTTGCTGTGGGGACATCATGTGACAGGGGAGTGGGGAATGAAACCGCGGTGACATGATGTCCCTTTGCAGCGAGGCAAATGTTCCGGTGTTTCCCTCACACCTTGGACATCCCGGCAAACTGTAGCAGTGGTGAAACGTTGTACGCAGCTCTTCACGGACAAGCAGCATTCCCAGTGCTCATGCCCCAGCACATCCCTCGAGATGAGTGTGGCTTGGCAATAACATGGCCATTTTAATTGTAGGTGAGTGCGAGGCAAAACCAGAGGGAATGATGAATACCAATGCATTTGGCCACTGGCCCTGAAACGAGTGCTGGGGTGGCAATGTCCTTTTCAAACAAAGGCACAGTTGAGGAGGGGTCTTAAAACATGGAAAGGCCGTAATCAAAGAGGCTGTCTGAGCCTTTTTGGGCCTAGTTTCAGTACTTGCACCTGCAACAGCTGTGCTGTTTTCTCGCTGTTAATATGTCAACAGGTGAGGATCAGCGCACCGACAAAGAGGGCGCGCTGGGCGGCGCAGGGCTGCCAGGCAGAGCGCAGGACCTGCGCGAGCACTGAGAGGCCGACGGCCGGGCGCACGATGCCGAGGCCCATGCGCGCCATGCGCTCCATGAAGCCGGCCACCGCCACCGCCATGCCGCTGCCCCCCCAGGCCCCCCACTGCACCGCCGTCCCTGGCACGCCCCGCGCCTGCACAAAAACAGATCCCCATCTCAGAGTTCATTAGGTCGACCCTATAAATCCTAATTGTGAGGAGTGAAGAGAGGAGCGAAAGTAGTGGCGATGAAGAAGAGAGTGGCACAATGTGCGATCCATTGTGATCAGCCGCTAATGAGGACATGTCAGCGCATGTCTATGTTCATCGGTCTTGGGTACTCAAGATATACTCCAAATTATCACCGAGTATCATTTGCAGGAATATCCTTAAGTAAAGTTGACTTCCTAATCTGTGCAGTCCAGGGTGATGGGGGTCTGTGTTTGCAGAGTCTGGTGCATGCCTGCAGCGCCTGCGCCCAGGCGTCGAGGGCGGCATTGGCAGCCGCGTAGCTGCCCTGGCCGCCGGAGCCGCTGAAGGCGGCGAGCGAGGAGAAAAGATTGAGCGCGCGCAGCGGGCTCTCCCCTGTGCGGCTCATCAGGCTCCACGCTCCATGCACCTTGCCCGAGAACTCGGTGCGCACACCGGCCGCGCTGATGTTGCCGATCACACCCGAGTCCAGCACCGCTCCCGCATGCAGCAACCCCTGCAACGCAGCAGCACATGCATCTTGTCTCCGTTTCCTTGTTCCGAGCAGTGACAAGGGCATTGCCAGCACAGGGTGCTTCGAGAGCCTCACCTCCCAGCACTCTAGCATCGGACCTCTCTCGTACAACATGTTGATTGGTGGCATTGTCAGAAGCTATGACTGATGAGAAGAAAGAGCGCTTCAAATGTGGTGAACACAGAGGAGGATGGTGCATGCCTGGAGGGCCTGGCCATGCAGGCGAGCGGCGGCTAGGGTGAAGGCGGCTTCCTCTGCAGCCGCCACGTCACTGCGCGCCATGGTGACACAGGCGTTGCCAAAGGAGGCGACCGTGAGGGCCGAGTCCTTGGCCAGGCGGCCTGAGCGGCCGAGGAGGATGAGGGAGGCTGACGTGTGCTGCGTCAGCCATGTTGCTATAAGGGATCCCACAGACCCAAGGCCACCTGGGCAAAAAGGACCCCATGAGCAGCTGGTGTTGAGGGGCGAGACAGACATGAAACATTTGTGGTTGCGGTGCTGCTTGAGCAGTGCCCCTTACAACACCATGGACAGATGCACGTGTTCAGGTACCGTGCAGCGAGCCATTGCGGCATTGTGGCAACAACACGCGGGTACTAGAGCACCAAAGGTATGAAGCAACCGAGATTGGATGGGGTGCGGAAGGCGCACCAGTGACGATGATGCTGCCACTGCAGGCCTGTGCGAGCTCGGGAGCGGGCGCTGCCTTCCGCTCAAGGAGGGGCTGTGGACTTGCCAGCAGCCTGGGAGCGCACCATGCATTGCCCTACAACCAATGTCATCACTCAGACAGATTTCTTCAAAGTACTGTGATGGGTGAACGCATGCAGTGCACCCTGGAAGCAGATGCAATTGTCCAAGAATGCCTGTGTGCCAGACCACACCTTACAGCCCAGGTAGGGGTTTGCAAAGCTCCCCACGTGACCGACTGTTGAGCTAAGATATCGCTAGCTATTGCAACATGCTGTACGGGACCTACAGGCCTCTCAAACGAACGGATTTACACTTTGTCGCCACCTGACGTTACACTGATCTTGCTACTCCGTCGTCATTTCAGGTCGTCGTAACCACTGCCGGCGTGCCGTTCGTCTTGTACGCACTCTCCTTCCTACTAGTGCTCATTGTCGCTTACAAAATCTCAATGTGCTATATGAAGTACCGTAAAGACATTTTGCCATCCTGAAGGCCACTCAGCATCCTTTCAAAGACACCTGGGCATGGGCTTAGGACGGTCCTAGTGCTCGTCGGTTCGAATCCGACAGTGGCCATCATTTTTGGCTGTTGCTCACTGCCGCCTCCAAGGTCTTATGGACCTTGTGCTATATGGAGCACCGTAAAGGAACATTGCCATCCCGAAGGCCACTAAGCATCATCTCAAAGAACATAGCAATCTGAGCGCCGTTGCTCAGCAGAGACGGTCAAAGTCCGTCACCCCAGGAGTGCAGAGTGCTCGTCGGTTCGAATCCGACAGTGGCCATCATTTTTGGCTGTTGCCACCTCCGAGGTCTTATACATGGACCTAGTGCTATATGGAGCACCGCAAAGGAACTTTGCCATCCCGAAGGCCACTAAGCATCCACTCAAATATGGACAATCTGAGCGCCGTTGCTAAGGAAACACTGTAAAAACTTACACCCCAGTGCTCGTCGGTTCGACTCCGACAGTGGCCATAACTTTTAGCTGGTTTTTTATTTTGTCTGTATCCACCCCTCTGAGGGATGCGTGAAGCCATTCAACTATGGTACGCACCACTCCTGGCAGGACTATCTGAGTAAGCCTCAACTTCACATTTGATTGTTCAAAGGTGATGCTGGTTGCTAGGACTCCGACAACCAGACCCAGACGTCTTTAGCCCTAGGTGGAAGGATCGCCCGACTTACTGACTGACAGACAGACGTACCTGCAGAGTGATGCTGTGCGGATCAGCGGCCGGCGCGGCTCCGGCAGGCGGCTGTGAAGGTGCGGCATCAGCAGTGTCCACAGTGCCCCAGTCACGGGCGGGGCTCTCCACGGAGGCAACGCGTAGCATGGCCATGGCGGATGCGCCCAGTGCAGCGCGTGTCATCGCCCCCGCAGACGCGCTCCCGGCCGGCCCGCCCGCCGCGCTGTGCACCCCCATCGTGACCAGTCGCGCTGTGCCACCTGCACAGCTCACCTTGTATGACCCCTGGTCCTCTATTGTTGTGCCCATAGTTAGGGCTTT